CCTAAATGTTTTAGTTCAATGGATCCCTGCAGCAGTGAGGAATTGGTAGAAAATAGCTCCAAAATATTGAGCCAATGGAGCAGAAACCAAACAGCACTCTGAAGTAGTAACTTTGGATTTGGAAAGCTCCCAGTCTCTAACAGAAAATATATCTGGGGTATTGCTTGGTTCCTCAGGGAGCTGAAAAGGGGAACAGCATTTAAAATTTCCAAATAATGACTCCCCAGACTACAGCATGGTTGGAACTTGTTGTACTGCAGGAAATTTGCAACAGATTCAAACTATCCCATGCAGTTAGAAGCCTTGCTCAAGTGTAAGATAGTGTATCATATAGCTCTCTGTCTGCAAAACTGGTACTACACACAACTATATCCTTATCTGTGTGGCAGAAAGAGTGGCTGTGTACCACTATGACTATTGAGAGGTGGACACACACACACTTTTACCCTCCACCATCACGACAAGAAAACACAGACCAACATTGTTTAGATAAGGGAACATACAGATAGATGCTGAGCGTTCCTCTACATCTAAAAATAGACACCTAGCAACCAGCAGAGTAGCACCCATAGGAACAGCGTGTTAACTTGATCCTTAACAACAAAAAGTGACGTGAAGAGTAAGGGAGAGACTGGAGGACATGCACACTTGCACAGACTCAAAAACAGAAAGCAGACAAAAACTGAGTCTTTATAAGGCAATACATGATGGTTATTTAATCATTTTAATGAGTCAACATATTAGCCATGTTTACATGGACAGCAATATTTCAGAATAAGTGAATACTATAAATAAGCCACTTCCATGTAAACACCCTTTTTTGATTACCTTGATAAGATCATATTTGGTGAAAGCCATAATCTAAATATAACATGTGGAGTATGCCAATCTTAGTCTCATGATTTTCAATTCATTCAACTTTTAACACCTTGTTACTCCACTGTTGAAACCGACACGCACCTTCGCAGTTCGCACACAAATGAGCAGCCATGAAAAAACCATGAATACAGGTAAATATGGTGTGTATTCATGAATGACGCATAAATACCGCTTAACAAAAAGTTTACGAATACAAATAAATCATTTAAAACTGAATGTACTAAAGCACAGAATCAAACCAACTCTATCACAATCCTCACCCCAGTACGCCTCATTATTGCTTACTAGATGGTGTGTTATGTGTGCAGAGAAGTGTGTGTGTTTGATTTCTTGCCTCTCCATCAGTCGGTGTCTTATCAGGTGTATTGATTAGCTAATTACTTGGTTATGAGTCATGACACCATTATTCTGTCCATCTGAAAGTATCCATATTGATCTGATTAGATGGAGAAAACGAAAGAGAGAGCAAGAGGAGAAAAAAAGGGATGAAGCAAATTGAACATAAAGGGAAAAAAGGAGAAAAAGTGATCACAGGGAGTTCATAGACTTTTTCCCAGGCTTCACATCCTTGTCTGAAAAACTGAGCTTAACAAACCAAATTGCAGCAAACATTTTAGTCCCTAAGGAAAGAGACTTTTACACACTTCCAATAACTGTCTTTTTTCTGCAACCAAGGACAGATGAGGAGCATCACTACGGTTACCATATCCATGACAACCTCTCCTGCTGCTATTATTGGGCATGTCGTCAAGGAGACAGAGCAGCACATTATGGGATGCAGACAGAAATAGAGATCTTGTACGGGAAGCGATGCAACAGATCTCTGGCATTACATAAGAAAGACTTGTGCAAAGCTAGCAAAGGGTGGCCATATTGATTCTAAAACCCTGGCTCCATCACAAGCAGGGTCAGGGTGATATACAAAGATCATTGTCAGGATGCTAAGAACAGTCATGATGCAACTGTTTTTCAGTTTGCACTTCATGAATTTTGTTTAAGCCTGAGGCATATTTGCAATTGATAAAAACGGGCAAATCTGTGTCAGCTAAGCTAAGCACAATGTGTGGTAACAAATCACAACAATCCTCAACACATGTGTGAAACTACACAAGTGGCTAAAGGTGAGCTGAATTAAAAGAGCTTTGATTTAGGAAATATTTAAAACCCTCCTATGGATTATAATGAGAGTGTTAACTCATCGTTTGTAGCACTGGCATGTAAAGGTTACACCCTAAGCGTTAAGTTAAGTTTCAACAGCGTAAGGACAATGTTCAGACAATGGGCAGGGTTTTATTTCTGCTGGTAAAGAAGAGACAGTTGGTCTTTTGGAGTTTGCTTCAGCAAAAATACTTTCTGCAGGCAGCACTGGATTAAACATCTATATGACTAAAGCGTAGGTAGGGCTGAACGATATATCGTTTACGCATGAGCAATAGTCACATTGAAGGACGTGCAATGTCAATCATGTGTCATGCTGCCACTTTTCTGTTGTTTGATGCAAACTAAACTGTCAGTTTTCTCATTTTCCATGACTAACGTGCAATAAAGGTCTGTCTGGCATCACCTTCAGTGGTCTCAGAACTGACTGTTGTGCATGAAGAGTCCCTGCATCTAAATGTAGAAATACTAGAGACTCTGCTGCCATCACATAGCCTGGCGTAACGCTCGAGTCAGACACTCATTTATGCGGGCAGATTTGAAACGAGTGTATTCCTTCAGTGGCATTGGCTACTTAATGCTGAGGCCATTTAAAGACTGTGAAGGACTGTTAAGGTGTGTAATAGTTTTGTGACACATGTATGAATCAAGAACTTCATTATAGTTCTTGCGCATATCCCATCCTAGCTGAAAACTTCTTAAGTCATGGTGGAACATAAGCCATTTAAGAACTGCTCATATGGAGAGAGGCACATTTTGCATAGTCCACACACATGTTTAAGCCTTTGGTCCATCTGCCCGCTGCTTCCTGTCTGTCAAAAGGTGATAAAACTAATTGACCACAGCTGTGGTGGTGGTGAGTACATGGGTACATGTTGTATTCATTTACTGGTTGGTGTGGGGGAGGGGGTTACTAGTAGGCTCCGGAAGAACTCTACAGGGATAGACGATATTAAAATAGATTCATTTAGGAGGACAAACTTTTTTGTGAGTGAGTGAGTGAGTGAGTCTGCATGCCAGAGCGAGATGTTGGATACAGTTTCAAAATGGAAAAGGGGGCTGCATTAAAATGTTTCCTCATTGTGTTGACGGACGTAGAGAGAGAGAGTCAGCCGTTCAAGATCATTACGGTTCCATTCAGAAACCTCACACAGTATATGAAACCCACCATGCTCCAGTTCAATAGTTTACAAATCCCAACACCGTCATTTTTTCCTCTATGAATTCAAGATTCCTTTATTATACACAGTAGAATGAAATCCATCACATCTGGGTCAAAACACTTAAATTAAAGCAAATAATTGATATTCTTCTGGACCAGTTTAGCTTGGTTGCATGGTACACTTCCTTGGCCCTGGCACAGTTTTAAGAGGTTGGGCGGGGGGGCTTAACTATACAAGTGAAATCTTTCATATGATATTGGACTGATGAAACGCTAACCCCAGGTTGTTGAATTATTAACTGTTATTTAAAAATGTTAATGAAATGTAATTGGCAAGACCTTTAACTATGATTGAAACAGGAAAAGGTATTCTGAATGCGTCTGCCAATGTCATTTCAAAATATTCACAGAGTGGAGAGAATGGCCGAGAGAGCGGATGATGGTCATAAATTAAGATGAACAGCTGTTCTTCCTCAGTGTTTTCTACTCTTCAGCTGACTCATTAACCTGCCCTGGAACAGTATCATTACAGGATACATTTTAGTGTAGATTCCAGTAAAAATGGATAACAAAATAACTGTTATTTATCCAATCATTAATGTATTTAAAGTCCAACTATAACTGTATGAATAGACATTATTAAAAGTAAAGGTTGTGATAGTGCAGCATGAGGTAAACAAGTGTGTGAATAAGGCAAACTTATTATTAGAAAGAAGTAGAGTGAAAGAAAGAAAAAGTGACAGATGTTACTTGGCCTTAGAGGGAGTAGTTTCTTCCTCACACAAATACACTGGTATACATCTGAAACAAACTTGCACACAAACATTGTATGATTATAGGTCATCATACTGATTTATAACAATGTAAATTGAATAACTATTGTCCAATGTCAGAAGGGATTGGATCAAAACCTCCGCAACCCCAAAGGGCAGGCTTATGAAAAGATGTATACTGATTGTTAAAAGCACACAGAGTTACACTCACTTACTCACAACCTGGTAGGCAGCCAGGTTTAGGCAATTAGATAAAAAGTTTGGCAGGAAGTAGTCCTAATACCAGTGTTTAAAGCAACAGATGTCTTTGTTTTGTAGGATATTTTTGATTTACTTTGAAAAATATCAAATTATACTACATTTGGTGCTTTGAACTGTATGCTCCAAGAAATAGCTTAATATGACAAAATCAAAACAACAATTTTCTCCTTAACAAAAACATTTCTGTTGCCCTCAAGAAAATTATTATTTTCTTTTGATCAAAACAGCTCAAATAGCTTTACATGATATATTTCCAGTCCACCATTATAACGGAAAACTGTCATTTTTTCATGGCTCCAAAGCAGAATACTTGAATCCTGTGCTGAATCCCAACAACAAAAAATGACTTATCGATGCTCAACGAAATTATCAGTCAAACTACCCTTTCCTTTGTTTTTTGTTTTTCCCTCCTGCTCCCATCTATATTTCCTCCACTGCCTCTACTTTTTACCCTCTCTACTCACCTTAATGAATCAGTAACAGTGTAAGACAGAATCAGCCTGGAAATGTGTAAATGACTTGCTGCTCTGTGGTGATAATTAAAAGATAACTCAGTAGACAACATGTTTCATAAATCCATCACACCCTGAATGTGTGAGCAAAGACAAATCAACCACAAAGAAAACTTTTTAGACCACATCAACAAAAACCAAGAAACCATGTCTCCAGAGTTTTGAAAAGAAACAGCCAAGCAGTTACTTAAAACAGCAGATATGTTACAGCCAGAGGGGGTATCATCTGTAAATCTATTGAAGTATTGCACTTACCAGGTTGGAGTTGGTGGCGTTTGAGTCATCCTCGGGGAAGGGGATGTAGACGGCTAAGGCCACACAGTTGGCAAAGATGGTCATCAGGATGATGATCTCAAATGGTCTGGAGGAGAGTTAAGGAATACACCAGCCAGAACACAGTACACAAACACAAGTGTAGAGATAAAAACACAGCAAAGGCCACCTAAATTTTACAGTTTTAGTTTTAACTTAGGACGAGCCAAAATTATATTTCCACTGGTCTTTGATATGTGTAAAAAAAAACCTTATGGATCTAGCTCAAGCAGAGACCTCTGCTGAAAATGACGCCAATGCAGAAGTGCCAAATACAGCAGTGTCAACTTGAGACTGGCTCCAAAAGCCAAGGAATTACCATCATAAGAGCCGATATTGGTAAATAAAAACAGAATCTGATAAAAACTGTTTACCACGAGGCTAGACTTCTCTTTATTTTATTTTCCTTTTTAACTTAAATCAGGTTACCAACCTTAAACTGTCTATTTTAGAATAGATCTGACAGTCCTCATCCTGACTTTAAACTTAAAAAAAATAAATATGGATTCATACACATTAATTCAGGCAGGGTTTCAGTGTTTGATAGAGAAAACAAGAAAAAAAAAAAACGTTTCCACGCATAGGGAAGAAAATAAAACAGACCAAGAATTCTGACCTTTCCGGAACACAAAGTCTCCATATCAGTCATATTATTTCATCAATGAGGTATTTTTAAACAATGTAATACATCCTTACATAAGCAGAGGTGTATATACACACAAAGCAAAGTGCACTAGCAGTGTACACAAGGAGAGAGATCAAAGCTGTTGAGTTGGCCCTTTTTACTAACAATAAGACATACTGGGTCACTTAGGACTCACTCTTTGAGTCTGTAGGGGGGGCTACAAAGACAGTGCATGTCCTAATATGGGTGCAGCAAGGAGCAGGCCTGTCGCGTGGAAGACAGGATGTGGACGGGGAAAGAGCAGGAGCGAAATGGAATGAGAGAGAGGAGAGACGCAGAGGGTTTTTATATGGAACAGTCCTTGAGAGGGGAGTGACCTCATTATTTTTGGCCACAGAGATAGAGAGAGAGTGAGAGGAAATAAGAGAGGGAAGAAGAGAGGGAGAATGTGGAGGAGAGATAAAAGAAGGTCTGGTTTTCATCAACACAATTACTAACTGCCACTGCTGTCACCTCCCTCCATTGCCCTCTTCTCTCTTCTTCCATTCCTTCCTTCCTTCCTTTCCTTCCTTTTATCAATTTAGTCTAGGCTCCAGAATATGTGGTATAACATAAATAGCAACATATTGATGAGTTACCCTGTCAAAAACTCAAATCCTCCAGATTAACCATGAACAAAGAAACCTGTGTTCATGTTCTATGTTCAACACCATAAATGCTGATTTTCAAGCTTAAGTACAAAGTTGAAACTTGGTCTACGCCACGCAAAGTATTAAGAGAGGGAGTACCTTTATTTAATAAAAATTCTAAATTGGTAAAGAAAAAAAAAAAAGGGGGGAGAGATGCAAAAAGATTACCATAAAGTCTTTCTAACAAAAAAAAGAATAACTATTAAAGTGCACTATTAAAAGTGGCCTTTTTTTGTGAGTGAAGTTACTTTCGAGCAGTCTTAAGGGTCGACATGATTGCTGTTTGTTAAATAGTTTTAAATTACCCAGTATTGTTTCTCAAAAGCTTACATTTCAGAGAATGATCAAACTGTCTCGATAAGTAAAAAGCAAGTTTTACTTCAAATAAGAGGACATGAACTTAACCACTTTAGCTATCCTTTATCGCCTATAATCATCTATAACCACCAATTTTGCTGTGTGTGGCCCCTCAAGAAACAGGCCAGCTATCTATTTCAGAGGCTTTACTACTGTTTTAGGAAGAAAAAGAATGAGCAGAAGGGAGAAAAAAATCTTATTGTGGCAGTGATACTAAGTGTATGTTTGGATTAAGAACTGACCCTTGAACATTTTGCACCACAAGATCATTCTGCTCGTTCAGCATGGGACCGAAATGCATCTAACATAATCACTCACCCTTGTAGCTGGGGCTTGTTAAAACACACTCTAGACCCGCAAGGACCCACAGAAAAACAGGCTCGTGGCTCAATTGGGGTTCCTGACCCATGATTTTTTTTTTGTTTTTAAAGCCTTGAGGTCTGTTTCTATCAACATGATAATAAATCTAGTCTACTGTGCTGTTGAGAGCTTGTCTGAGTAAATAATACGACCAAAATAAAGTATAATAACACTTTTCATGAATCAGCAAAACAATAGAAAATATAAATCTTTGACAGCATTCTGTAGATTTAAAAATTAATTTGATTCCAAACTAACAGAACGATTGCCTGTAACAGCTCTTAAAAAACAGAAATAAATTAACTTAAAATTAAATCAGCACCCAATTAGCTCAGCAGGTTTCACAGCAGTCTAAATGCAGTATTCGAAGGGGGGCTACTGTCTGAGTCATTTAGGAATCAAAAATATACAATCAACATTTTAACAAACTAACTGAATATTCTTACAACAAACAGTCACAGTAGGATTGCATCCATATTCACGCCATGACAAAGATAAAGTCTCTGTACATGCGGTGCACAACATAACCGCCAAGCTATCAGGCCCCCTCATAATCACTTATCTTGACAAACCAAATAAGAAACCAGGATATTATCCGGAAGAGCAGGCTCCTGACTTTCATATGAAATGTCGGGGATAATTATATCAGTTTGAGTTGAAAACTGCAACGACAAAAAAAGACTCTTAATATGAAAAAAATATATTGCAATACAATATTTAAGCTGCAGCTCAGGAAACGGTGGGTTGAGTGTAAATGCACTCAATGACAATTTTTCAAATTACCACTAAGTGTGATTTCATAGAGAGAACATAGTTGAAAGATATACACTTGCCCCCGCTCTCTCTTTGTCTCTCATGCTGACCTTGCAGTGTGCAGGTAATGCTTAAATGCTGTAATTACACAGCGTGAGTGAGTGCGTGCAAGTGTGCGTGCTTTCGCGCCCGTGTGGGCGTGTGTGCGCACCGGTCTTTCATCATCCGTGTGCAACTATGTGTGTGCTCTTGACATGTGTGTATGCGTGTTTGTGTACGCGGGAGCGCAGACCTGCCCTATCGACCTGTTGAGAGCAGCAGCTGTTGTCATGGTAACAGAGGAGGAGGAGGAGGAGAAGAAGATTTCAGATCTGCTATCTCTGGAGACAGAGGTGCTCACAGAATACAGGACACACACACACACACACACACACACACAAAGCCCAGTAAATAAAAACAACAACACAGGAATGCATCACTTACAGTACAGAGCACAAAGTCACCTACAGACCAATGTTCCAACATACACTGCATTCAAACAGATGCACACTGTGGCTATGAAGGACATCCAAAACTAGATTTAGACAGACAGGCAGGCAGACAAATTGAGGATTTTTGAACTCCGGAAGGACAAAATTTATTGTAGTTTAATGCTATTCTGCTTCGTTTAGGTTTTTTTTTTTTTGGTCAATCTTTTTGTTTGAATGCCTTCCTGTTTACTTCTTCTTCTCATTCTCCTGCTTAACATCACTCACCTTTTCTCCAGTCATCTCATCCCTCACCTCTTCCTCTGTCACTCTCTTCCTTCCTTACTTCCCTGCCTCAGAGCCATTTAAATGAATGATGCTGGGAATTGTGGGTAATGATCGGAACACTCATCAGTCATTGGGTAAAATTACTCCAGTGACCCTGGGGTTTATGCATGCAATTTGATTAATTTGCTGCTTTTTTTTTTTTTTAACAACACACCCTGTGCAGGATCAACTTACTGCTTACACTATGACTTTACATAATCACGAAAGGTGATCAAGAAGGATATTCTGTGTGCGAAGATTACACACATTTTAAAAAGGCGGGGCTGTTCTGACGGGACATTTGGGGTTGTTATGAACACATGTCTATTTTTTGAGTGATATGCATCAATCAAGAGCCTTGCTGTTCTCGTTAAACTGAGCAAAACCATTACAACAAGCAATACAAAACAATGATTATGCAGTTCTTAGATAAACAGCTCAGCAGGTTTCACAGCAGTCATAATGCAAGGTTCACAACAATGTCAAAAGGAATTATGCCATTAATAACTAATAAACATTTTTAAAAAATATTGCTTACGGCTGTTTAAATAAGTTTACTGCAGGAAAATAGTTCTTAAAAACCAATTTGGATTTGACCTTTTGGCTTAAAACAATGATTTAATAATATTTTGTGTCTTAATGTACTTTTGCTTATTTTGTCCAATGTTATCTATTATACTTTGTTAAATCAGCCCCCTTGACACATGTACTGTAAACAGACATAAACACACACGAATACTAACTCATCTTCTCTTTGATCACCAATTGGCTCTGCCCTTGCTTCTCTCCTCTCCTCCCTCATGATCCCCCTATCTTTTCTCCTCTCCTCTCCTCCCCTCACTCGTTATTTACCCTCCCACTACCCTGTCGTTTTTCTTGTTTACCTTTCCTGTCCTCCCATGAATTCCTCCCTCTCTCCTCAGCTACTTAGCTCCATCATCTCCCCTGTCGACATCCATGTCCTGCCCACATCCCTGCCCTTCCCATTCCCCCAGCCCTCCTCTTCCTCTCCTCTACTCCCTCTCAGGACAGAGTGTGACTGTGCTCTTGCTGAGCTCAAGTTGGACCCTCTTCTATTATACATCACTTTGACTGTGACACTGACCATTTCTGCCTCTCCCCTTTCTCTCTCTTTCCCAGCCTGAGGAAAAACGAGTCATTATGTTCAGCAGCTTAAAAATTGGGACAAAATCTCCACAAGAGAAGTTTAAAAAATGGAGGACTGGCAGAGGAATAGCAGGAATAAAGGGATTTGGATGGACAGAGGGAATGAGCGACGAATAATAAATGCGGAGAGAGACATGGGGGTTGAAGGTGGAGGGAGCAAAGGAGGGACTAAAGCATGGATGGACCTGAGGGAGAGAGTATGAATGCAGTCAGAAGGAGCTTTGGAAGAGACATATGTTTAGGAGAGGTGTGAAGGGGGATGAAAATGACTCAATTTGTTTTATCTTCCAGTGAGAAAATAATGTAAGATGAAAAAGGGAGAGAAAAAAAGCCTGAAAGACCAAGACAGACGCCAGACAGACGGAGGGGAAAAGGGATTAGGACACGTGATTGGAGAGCGAAGAGTAACACCAAGAGAGACATACGGGAGGAGGGAGATTATTCAAGAGAGAAAGAGTAGAAGGAGGAAAATAGAGAAAAGAGGGAAAATGAACAAAACAGAATGTGATGAATTTTTCAACTGTTTACTTCCTGCGTCCCCTGTCCCTCCCCTTCTTTTTCAACCTATGACGGCTTTCTCAGCAAGTCAAAGGTGACACCTACTAGTCCATAACGAGTTTTACAACAGTAATTTAAAATCAAAATGTACAACCACTACACACCCATTCCGTCAATTACAGCATTTAAGGTTCATGGAAACGTTGGGATTATCTTTTGTTACTAACAAGCTGCCACCTCCAGTGTTGAAAAATAAAGCTAATGGGGAAGTGCAAAGTTCACAGTTCCTTTAGTGTCCACTTAAGGCTGGCTGCAGGCAAACCAAAACAAATATGGCAATAACTACATAATATTTTGACACACCTTTAGCCATCTGAATAAGATACGATTGTTTTGCATTGCACCTATTTGGTTAGTTTGTTTTGAATTGTTTCGTTGTGTTACAGCAACCAGCCCTATTGGATAAGACAAACTGGACCATGTTTTTGGAAGTTGTTTGTATGTCCTGTATAATTTAAAAGGTGTGAGGCTAGATTTAATGCAAAACTCGACTTTTCCTCCAAAAATGAAGGTCTGACATGTTGCTTGTGAATCCAACTAAATAGACTAAAAGCACAGCTCTATGCACAGGGTTAGTTAAAGGATACTTCCACTCTACGATGCTGATGCAGGCCCTGCGGATGGGGTTCTTAAGCGTGAGACAGAGCAGGGCCCGTGGCGGCCGTGTTGCTGTTGTTGTTGTTGGTTTCTTGGGCTTAGAGCTGTAGTGTTGTCTCTTTCTTTGCGTAGAGCTGGCCGTTGAGATTGGCCCTCCCCCTCCTGTCCCCAGCGCCACAACTCCGCTAGATGCGGCATTGCCCATCATCTTTGCTTGCCGCGCAGCATCGATGGCCGCCTGCCAGCTCAAGGCTGCCCCAGGTGTGGGAATGTGCTCAGGTGCCAGGCCCACCACGCCCACCCCGTGGTTGACCCCGCCCCCTCCTCCATCATGGTCACTGTGGCTCCCAGTGCCAATGTGCTCATTGGTCAGTCCGGTGGGAGGAGGGCGAGGAAGGGGGGAAGGGGGAGAGTAATCGGAGCCTGCAAAGGGAAAAAAAATAAGAGAGAGGAGAATGAAGTTAGAAAACAATACATGTAGCTTTTAAATCACTGATTTCATGCATCACACATCACACATGGTTCCTCTAAGACGTTACAGTGTTCAAAGGCTTCAGGAGGGTTTAAGTTGTTGACATGTCAGTTAGTGAGCCTTGCATATTTTTCAGACACTGAAAATGTCTTCCTGTAGAATAGACTGATGACTAATAGATTCCCATCTGTCAAGCAAGTACACCGAGCTAACTGTGTGCTGTTTAGCTCGAAAGCATATTGTGTAGGTTAAGCAGTCCTTTCACTTTGTGTCAACACACAAAAACAACACCACTCATCTGAGCAGAAACTGCTGGCTGGTAAATGATCATTTTAGTGCTAATACTAGTCATTGTGAAATCAAATATCAGTGTTATAAATATCAAAATATCTTTTTAGAGAAATAACAATTATAGTCTTCGATTAAGGTGATGATACAATGAACTGGAGTCAAAAGTTATGCTGAATGCATAATCAATGGGGGTGTTTCAAGTCTGTGCATAAATCCACAAAACCTGCAGAAAACAAATGAATGAGTAAAAGAAAAAAAGAGTGTTAAAGTGAAATGAGAGACAGAATTACAATAATCCCAGTGTGATTACATAGTTTTATCACCCAGACAAATAGTAGGAATAGGGATGAATGAGTAAAAGTACTGTAAGAACGAGAGGATTATCCATACTGTACAGTATGCTTAGCCAGATTAAAGACAGCTAGAATATCCTCTTAGCTCACCCTTCCCTCTGACATCAGAGCAAGGTTTACACTAATACCCTCACCCTACAACCACCCTTGTCACGTCTAACAATACATTTGTGTTGATTTCAAGAGTTTTTATGACGAATAATAAAGAATCTATATGCTTAGTTCTGTCACATTTTAACAAATGTAGTTCCTAATGTCAAATTACAAAATAACTTTTTACGAAGTTACTTTAAGAGAAAAAGACTAAAAAAAAAAACGTAAAGAACCCCCGTGAAGTTAATCCAACCTGGGCTGTTATGACAGAGATACGGAGACAAAAAGAGGGGGGGGGGAGTGAAAAGAGTTGCGCAGGAGAATGACAGACTTATCCTGCACAATTGCTGTTATTGCAGAGGATTTATAATACCATCTGAAATCCCATTCAGAGATTTTCATTTCTACGTATGAACTCACAGTTCATGATGGTTTAAGGGGACGTTAATCTGCATCCTTAGTTGTAACTAAATTCTATCTTTCATAAATTCAAACTCAGAGACATCTTTTAAATAACTAGCACCAGGTTTTATTTCCAAATTGTCTTTTGTGCTTCTATTCACTTATTGTTGGGTATTTTGTTATATTCAATGGATTATTGACTGAGGTGTTTTTTTCTCAGCCACACAACATGGTGTTAAAAGAAACTATATACATTTTATTTTACATTACTTGAAAATGTATTAGGTTACTCTTAACTTATTCCATTATAATAAAGCCCACACTTTGAGTTATTATACAAGGAAAAGTACAGCAGGTGTTAAAACAATACAATGAAACTCTCACAGTAGGCATGTTGTCCAATAGGAGCTCTAAGAAAACCATCTGATGTATGGAGTCATAATTCCTTCAATTAGTTACACCTGTGTGATTCATATGCCACATTTGGTAGTTTATTGTTAAATCGACATTTTATCTGTTCTAAATACATATTTTTAAATAAAAATGTGGTTATGTGTTCTAAATAATAATGGTTTTAAAATGTAAAGTATCTAGTTAAGTTAATCAGGTGTCAAATAATGAGAAATAGCTATTTAATGCTTAAAATATATGCCCAAATAACATGGTAAACAATTAAAAAATACAAAAACAACCTGCAAGTCAGTGAACTTGATACTTCTAATAGGAAAACAGAGCAACCTTGAGGTTACCAGTAGGCGTGTTACGACCCCGCCTCCTGTCGGTGCACCTGGCCAGCGAAAATAGTTAATCTAGCGGGTAACTTTCTGCCGTCCAGCATGACAAGAAACAAACTTAACTTCAAATTGCAACTGAAACGCAACTGCAAATCTCACATGACTACCTCTTGTGTGTTTTTTATTCAATAACTGTTCTATTTTACGCCTTATAATGATTATTAAGCCTAATTAATTGCAACACATACCCAGGTGTGCAGCTGTTCATTGATATAACAATGTACTTTTCATTTTATGTAACATGTTGGCCTACATGTTATCTAAGTAAAAAAAATATATTATTTTTCACGACTTTTACTTTTGAGCTATTAAAAAACCTTATCAAGGTTAAAAAAAGGTCATTTTTAAAATAAATGTACTGACTAAGCAATACTTCTATGTATGAAAATATGATGGCGCCATGTGCTTCAAATGCAGCACTGTGCCTATAAGGAGGAGGTGTTCTTCACATTCATCAGCAGTGAAGTCACTTGGTAGGGTATCAGTGCCGCTGTGCCTTGTGGGAAATACCACTGTGGTTTAAATTTGGAGCATCTCATTACTTGGATGGAACTATTTCCCCCGTTTTCTCTCAAATCTGGGTTTGATTTGAGGATTTCTGTGATTTTGAAAGCTAGAGGACATTGCAAACTTTACTTTTATCATGGAATCTAGCATCTGTCTGAGATAAAGGGGAAAATGTCCCTCTTTCTTTCCACGATTGACTCCAGTGTGGGTTAATATCTGCTTTCGGACCGCTGTTGCACATCATCATCTCTCTCTTTCACTCACTATCTCACACAAACACACACATATGCACACATAATCACTTTCAGCATATTGTACTGCTGCATGATCAGTTTATCTCACACTGCCTGTCTCTCTCACAACGTATACCCCACTGAGAGCTTGCGTCTGTGTGTGTCTGTGTGCATGCATGCGTCTGTTTGTGAGTGTCTGTGTGTGTGTTGCATGAGTGAGTGTTTGAGGATTAGAGAAGAGTAAAACTTTAATAATACTCTGCTCAATAATCTGTCTGACTGCATTTCTGTCTGTCCATCCGTCCGCCCTGTCTCATGCTTATTTACAATCCTGTGTGAGTGTGTGTGTGTGTGTGTGTGTGTGTTTGTATGATAGATTGTGTGCTGACGTGTGTGAACATAATTCCATTAGCAGCTCTTTATTCTGCAGGGGGAAAAACTGCAGCCTGGGGTAATATGAGTCTGACTGAAGGGAAGAAGGAGGAGAAGGCAAGGATGAAGGAAAAGATGAGAAAAGAAAAGAGGATGAACAAGACAGGAAGCAACAAGAAGGGAGGTGTATTTATTGTGCAGAAGGAAGGGGAAGAATGGTGAGTGGATGGACAGACAAGAAAACAAACCAAAATGGAGGAAACAGGAGGAACAGAAAAAGGGGAAAAGTGAAGATGAGAAACATGGGGGAAGGACTAGGAGGCTTAACCAAGAGTGGCAGGACTAAATCCAATTATTTATCCATCCATCATGTGATTTTACCACAGAAAATATTTCACACTAATTCTCCCTAATAGTATTACTGTCATACAGGCAATGGTGTCAGACAGTCAAAGGTTTCCACAGGCTTGTGTAATATATGATTATACACATTACACACACGTTATGCTGTTAAAGTACAAAAAAATCCTTATACAGTATATTGTGAAAGGGTAAATACAGTATGAGCTATGATAAAAAGAAAGCTTTACAATTTGAAAGAGGGAGCCGGTGCTTCTGATAACATTTCTGATAACATTAATGATGACTTAAGAGTCTAAACAGTACTATGCAAGGATATCAATAAAAGGGCCCCGTAAAAAAACAGCTAAATCAAGTTCTGCTCTGTTTGATTGTATTTTTCACACGTGATTTTCCGACTTAAAAAGGCAAAAAGTCGTTAAAAAAAGACCTGGTTGTTTTTTTATAGTTAGGGCTTCATAGTTTGTATTAGTTGTGGAATAGAACAACATTTATACTGATGCCTCTTTATGACCTACAAACACAAAAGAGACCATTGGCATTACTATTGATTGTTTCTATGAAGTCATTTTTAATGTCCAACACCCCTCCTGTGGGTAGGTGTGAAACAATGTTGAAAACATGTTTTTGCTGGGGTTTTTCTTGTTCATGTGCAAGAAGTAAGAGGTACCAGCTTGTCTACAGAGGGTGCATCCTCCCACACTTAAGGTTCCCTACAGGAGCTTTAACTTACTCTCATCTGTAAGGCTCTATAGAAAATACAACATCATTGCAATGTGTGATTGTGAGTTCACATACTTCTCTGTCTACTTTCAACTTCAACACAAGTCTAATCAGCCAAAATAATTATCAACACCTGTGTAGTTGTAGTGTTCTACAGCGGATACAGGAGTGCATTATCACATCCATATGATGCGTATAACAGCAAACTTTCCCATTACATCCCTTAAACAAGCTTTGGCTGAATGCTGAATTGAAATAGACTTGCTCATGTTGGTGAAATCATAAAACAGAATGAAATATATCTCCACCAAGCACAGACACAGAGGAAAACAGTTTAGAGGACTTTATACAGCAGTCTATAAATCGTAAAGACATTCAGCTTTCACTCTAACTGAACTTGAAATGAACCTAACTGAGCCGAACTTCTGTTTGAGCCGAGCTCCAGAGCATAATGAGCTGTGATACGAACGGCAGCCAGTGGAGCTGTTCTACTTAATGATAAAGACTGGAGAGAGATGCTATCACTGCAACTCTAAACACCCAGCCGTAAAATGCCATTACACACGCACGCACGCACGCACACACACACACACACACACACACACACACACACACACACACACACACACACACACACACACGCACGCAGAAAACATATGCAACAAATGATCAAATATGGCTTCACCAATGCAACTCCAGGAGAACTTACAGCAGCAAAAACTGCATCACCTAGCTTTAAAAAAAAAAAAAAGAGTCTGTACTCAGCGGAGGGGACACATGAGTTCATCCTGCCCTGAATCAGCCTCTCTCATCATCTCCTCTA